TCCGCGTTGAGGGGCGCTTCAGTATCTCCCTTGCTTGCTACTCCAGCATATGCCCGTTCGAGCCCGTCATTCTTTTCCAATGCCTTCGCCAGCTCGTCTGAATCAGGCGTCAGACTGGCATCGAGTAATTGGGTGATGATGGAGTCGCTGTCTGGCCGATATCAGTACGGTTGTTAATTAGGTTCATGGCTATCATACCGATCCTCCGTCGTGCCTCGCCATTACAGACAGCATGCAGTATCGCATAAAGACCGCATGCATTGTTGATGGTCTGCTTGAAGAAGATCACGTCACCAGCACCTCCAGAGGTTCGAAACTCCTCAAGCTTAGCGTCCTCGTCTTGAACTCGCTTTTCATAGTCGTCCGTCGTCGGAAACACCAGTATCAACGCAAAGGCGGGACGCGGAAGAAAGCCAAGCAGTTCTGGGTCGTCCAAAGAGAGCACATCCTCGAAGACCAATGAGGTGGTAAGGCCGAGCTTATGCGCGAGCTCGGTGAAAACGTCTGGATTTGACTCGAGAGGAATGAAGTGCTTGGTATATACCGGTCCGCAAGCTTGGTCTGCAGTAGTCATTGTTGGTAAAGACGTGTTGATGTGGTTCTCTTCCTATCATGTCAAACGTACTTGCTGCCTGAGAGTCGAAGCTGAGCACCGCGCCTGCTTCGTTGGCTACTGCGCTAACCGCTTTAGGTCAGGGCATCGTAAGCCTTCAGTCGTACACGAAAACGTATACTAGTGGTGCAGCTATCAGCATCAAGGCCGACCTCTTTGGATGTATGTAATAATGGACGTTAGAACCTCCCAATGCAATGAGACCAGCGATCGACTATTCTGCCGTACACAAGTCCACAATCTCATAGCTAGCGTTGTGCGTGCCAGCACTGATATATCAATGGAGAGATGTCCGATCTGTCGAACCGTGGCTGTGTCGTACATGCATGAGCTTACCGCAGTTGTGGTGAGGCGATTTGTAGCACCCGAACAACACCGACTGTTCATTTTGGAGTAAGAGCGACTGTGAAAAGGCTAATAAACGACCCGCGATGAACCACCAAGCCCTACTGGCGACTTGATCACGAGATAGTCTTGGTCAATTGATCCTGTGCTTTGATGGACAAAATCGAGACAGTGGGTAGGAAGTCAGAAGACACAGTAAATTGATCATACAGCTTCCCATATAAATCTAGTTAATGAGCCTTTTGCCATCCTGTGAGCCAAAAAGAGGGGTCAGCCAAACAGCAGGCAAGAGGTTCAGTCATAGATCAAGATAGTATAAGCTGAGCAGCTCATCACTTATCAGCGCAGCCATCAGGGCACCCGTTCACCGGGCAAGCAACTGCAACCACGGGGCAATCAGCAGCAGTCTTACATAAGGCAGAGTTGCCCTTTGAATCTCGCCCCCAGCACCAATCTCCAGCACACGTGCACTAACGCATGTATCAGCATCTCGACGACATCTATTCCCCCTTAAAGAGTATGAAACCGAACTAACCTTTCTCCAGCAATAGCCTTGTTCGCAGCCAAAGTCTTCTGTGACACAGTGTCCCGCTGATGAATCATGGAATGGGGAGTACGCGATGTTGATCGTGACGCTGAGTTGCTGTGGGTGACGAGAAAGTGATGTGTCGGTGCCTGCGAGAACGTGTTGGGGCATACCACTACCAAAGCGAATGTGTATTCCCACTAGAAGAAAGCTCAGGATAGTGTTTTTCATGGCGAATGATGTTGTGGTTGTGAGTTAAGGATGGAGATGAAAGAAAGAAGATCTGGTGAGTGCGAGCAGGCAAGTTATACTGTTTCGCGTGCTACAAGACATTCTGGTCTTACGTAGACCAGTGGCTTCGTGGTTCTCGTGGTGCAGACGCCTCGTGGTAAGATACGAGCTACGCAAGTCTAGTTTTCTACTTCAAAACTGCTGTCCAATTTGCATATCCCACGCCAATCCATCGATACCGCAACAACCCACTTCCCTTATACCAAATCCAACCCATCTCTCATTCAACAGTACAGTAGGTCCTTCAGCACATAACCCTCTCCCTCATCACCAATGCTCCGCTTCAAAGAACAGCTCCAGCCCCATCAACCAACAGCACGCCTCCCCTCCCGTCACACAACACACTTCCAGGTGCACGTACAGTTCCACGACACTGAGTAGCTACCTCGCTGCCGGCGGCCATTTCTGAGCAAGCGCATACCGTTTTCTGCGTATTCTGCCGATGGTGTTGGGGTGGGAGGGTGGAGCGGAACTTGAGTGTTGTGAGGGTGAGAAGGAGGATGGGTTGGTGGTTCTGGTTTAAGCATGTCAATGACGCGGTTGGAGTCTTGATGGGTGAGTGGTGTGGTTTGTGGGTTGTGATGGATGATGATGAGTAACGATTCTATCGCTAGTCTCACTCACACCTGATACCCATCTGCACCTTCTGCTCGACGCAGAAACTCCCACATTGCTCGCACGACTGCGAGACCGCTGCCTTGCGTCTCGATGGTGCGCCCGCGTCCTCGGTCGTTGAGATCGCTTGGGCTTCTTTTTGTCGTTTCGTCTTCATCATGCTCGTCAAAGACGTACCGCTTGGAGGGTTTGTCGAAGTCGCCTTCCATATATACGCCCTCACTAGGATCTGAGTAGATGTTGCGGTAGTCTACCGCGTTCTCTGGGAGAACTGGGTGAGAATGAGACACCGATTTCCTGTTGTCGCGGAAAGAGGTGGATGGAGATGAGAGCTTTGGTGCGCCCCACCATGCTCCGAATCGGCCATCTTGGTCGCGCGTTCGGAGCGCGGCTTGGGCGTTGTGGACGACCCATGCGGTGTATTCTCTACAGCTGTTTGTGTGTAACATAACCAACTCTCTGGGTGCTGCATGTGTTTTCCCTGGTCGGGTTGGCCGAGATGGAAGAGCTTCGCAGAAGGACGTTAGGTGGTGGAAGAAGATGCCTTTGAACGTTTGGCCGTCTTGACTGCAACGCCCAGAGGGATCGCAGAACTCTGTTAAAATACCATTGGAACCCAGGCCAGCCCAGTCGGTGGGCAGTGCTTCCTCTTCGTCTTCTGGGCCACTGCTTCGATGAGGTTGAGACTTTTTCCAGCCTGTGGCACGTATGACGTTCCTGATGAGCTCATGGCCATCTTCCAAATATGAGGTCTTGCCTGTAGCTTCCCACAGCCCTCGAAGTCCGGACAGAAGGACACCTTGATTGTAGGTGTACACCATTTCGTTCCGCTCGTCGCATGTCGTCTTGCTATGATTCGTGCGGTAACCTCCGATATGGAAGCCGTCAACGTAAAGCCCTTGATCGTTCGTCATGCCAATGTTCTTCAGCCACTCGTACGCATTCATTGCGTTCGCGAGGTAAACAGGATCGTAGCGTGCCCGGTGCCCCTCGTCGCAGTCATCAAATAGCTGATCTTGCTGTAGACCAATCTTGTCGTGCTGCGAAAGAAACGGTGAACAGTTGTCGTCGCCCGGAAAGTGCAAGTACATGCTGATACTTGCCGAGATGAAGAGCTGGTTCGTAATGGCGTTCTTGTACGGCAAAAGACGCGGGTTCCAAGTCATGCCGCCCCCGCAGAGCCTCCAATCCCATCCCTTCTCAGCCAATTCGTAGAAGACGCGCGCTCGGTGGGCGAAAGCAGGAACGAACTGCCTGGCATGCCATTCCTTCGCTCCAGCCTTATTAGACGTGTAGTGTTCCGCAGAATGGCTCTCGACGAAACCGCTTGCTTCCAGCCAGCCCAAGACTACCCACAGCATGTCATCGAACGCCTGCATCCTTATTGCGAAGTGGTCTTCGCCGAAGTAGTAGGCAGTGGTCTGCGCAAAGTACTTGTTGATCTCGTTCTCCACCATTTGTGCCTCGACATCCATTTTCCGGCTCTTGTCGAATGTGCCCGGCATCGTGTAGGGAAGCGAATGGGAGAGCGAGGAGAGGGTAGCTGAGACGTAGGTCGACATGACGGCTGCTGTCCAGTCTATCGCTGTTGTGTACTTGCCAAGCCATACTGAGAAGTAGTGGTCTTGCATTGTAGATAGAGCGGAGTGGAGGTCGTGGAGAACGTTGGTTTCGGCGAGGGAGTAGCTGGCTGTGCTGATCGGGAGGTCGTTCGATGATGTCTGGGACGAATCGGAGAAGGATGTAGACGAGGCTGGCGACGAAAGCAGGCGAACGACATTTTGATTCTCGGGCTCGTAGACCGGTTGATTTGCTTCTGCGACATGTCAGTGTGAGGTCTTTGAGGGGAAAGTATCTCTCGGTCATACCTTGTGCAGTTGGCGATCTCGCATTGCTAGCGATTGAGCTGGTCGCAAACGCGAATTGAAGCAGTAGAAGCGATAAACATAGTCGCAAAAGCGACGCGACACGCAGCGACCCCATTGCGAAGCCTAGGAAGCCCTGGTGCTCAGCTGGGTGTTGCGCTGAATGACCTCGGGAGGACCTGGTGCTATGCGACGCGTAAGCAGTTCATGGAGCAGCTCTGCGCGCGAGCTACTGTTAGAAATAATGCGGTATGCATATAGGATCGATAAGCAAGACCATTCAAGGCTTCTTATCGGCTGCTGTGACGGTCATACTAGAGGAGGCATGTGCCGCAAGTGCATGAGGCGCATACGATCCTGGCCAAGTCCACCTTCCCGTACCGGCTTGGGTAGCTGCTCTTGCCTGAGAGATCCGTCCCAGGGCCTGTAGCAGCGGATGGCAGATAAATTGGCGCGAGGCGTAGTTGCGACATGACCACAATGGTTAAGAAGACGAAGACACGACTACATTGGTGCTTCCCCAGGCGCAACGCGTGATAGAGAGATGAGATGACGCCAAGCCTGAACCCTGGGATCATGAAATCGCGTGTCTGCCCCGCTCCCGCTCTCGCGTGGTTTGCACGCACGGACCGCATCTAGCCCACCAGAGTAGCAAAATGGTACAGCATCGCCCAGCCGCTATTACATGTGCAAAAAAGGTGTTGAGCGCAGCAGTTCCACTGAACCACACATGCAAAAACAATGTTGAACAGAGTGGGATTCGAACCCACGCAGATTTCTCTACTAGCACCTGAAGCTAGCGCCTTAACCGCTCGGCCATCTGTCCATTGATGAAGGTTTTGAGTTGCTAGATCAATATATACTGGGTACCGCACAGTCTGGTAGGCCAAACGCAAAGTTCAAAGGATTTTGGTGGGTATGGACGGCCATGGCTGGGCAGCCGGACCAAATGACTGGCTTTTTCAAGCGGGGCAAGGGAACTAATCAGTTAAAGAGAAGCGCTACGCCGGGAAGACCGAAATATCTGTAATAGGTAAGATCTACTTATTCTGGGACAACATTGACTTCAAAGGTCTTCCCTACATACAACATCTGTCATTCGATAAGACAGTAGGAACCTCTGAATACATCACTCGTTCGTTCGCTATGCAACCTTGGTCTCAAACTTGGTCTTCGTAATCCAGCCCACTGAGCGCGCAAATCGATAGTGTGGCGATCCTGCACAGAAAGGGAACCACTCCATCTAGTTCGGGACAGCAAACACTTGGTTATTATCCGGTCGTGGAAGCAGTCTATTCGTGTAATGGAGAATTAGTGAATGCTAATGCTCTGACAAGCTGCGAGTATGGGCTTCATCTCATGCCCATTTAACAAGTCCATCGATGTGTACCTCCAATGCGATGCTATCTCCGCACAGCCCTGCCTTGATACCAACGTTGATGGCCAGCCCACTATCACGCACCAAGAACATATCATTTCGCGCGTCATTTCCTCGCAATGGGTCGTACACCTCGTCTGGTATCCTTCTCTTCACCGCTTGCGGCCAGGTACCACTGGCCTGGCCATCTTGCGAAGGGTCAAAGTCCGAAATAGCTTTACACCAGTAGTGACAAGTGGACCGGTTGAAACCGAATGCGACCGGGAAGCTTAGAGAATGCGCATACGCTGCTGATTGGACCCGGAGCAGAACAGCCCCCCAGAACTCGGTGACTGGATTATCTGGTATTCGTAGCTCGTGGGTGGTTTCGTCCCAGGAATTACGAGGCGTGACACTTATTATGCGAACTGTTGGCGTAGTGTGGCTAGAAACTCGTCGTCGTATGTGAAAGCTTTTGAACTCGGTAGTCGTGAAATCAGGTGGTATGGACAGCTTCTGCCGTACATAAATGGTATGAAGCTTCCCAGTAGGCCAATCGTCGATGAAAGCCAGAGAGCCAGCATCAACACGCGCGTATTGTGTTCCACCATCCAGGCACTTCAATGTGATGGCCAAGCGTTGGTTGAGCTGGTTGCTCGACCGTATCATGGCTAAGACCCGGCTTTTGTCTTTGGGGTCAGGTAAGAACTCGAGCTGCACACGCAGACCGATAGGGGTAAGGCCGATGGGGAAAGTGGAAATGACATTCTCGCGCTCGATAGAACCGCAGTGTTGAAACTCTTCAGGATGGCGCGCAAGCAAACCCCGATACGTTGATCGCTCCGATGAAGTCGCGCACCAAGAGAATAAGGAGTAGTCGTCAGTAGTCCTTAGGATCTCTTCTTGTAAGCGAATAAAAGCCTTCGCACCTTCTCCATAAAGTAAGGGCATGTGAATGTCGAAGAGGCCGAGCAAGCAGTAGGCAACATCTTCGACACGAGTACTTTGCCGATGTGCTGCCCAAGACATCCTCTCCGCAACGGAGAACTCACTAACAGTACCTCTGTCGTCGAGTACCCGAACTGGTATACCCGTGGCGTCAGATAGCTCCTCCAGAAACTCTACCTTCTCGCCCATCAAGGTCCAGTCCTGGAAGTAGAAGCGACATAGAACCGGTGCAATCAGTTCTTGTAGGGTCCAACCGCGACGCGTCCACCGAGAAGACTTCAGTGAATCTCTTGCAATTTCGGAAGCGGTTGTGTACCCGTTTGGACGTGGTTTGGGAATGTCGCCCAGATAGACGATGCAGACCTCCGCATCTCGGTACCAGCGATACATGGAGTTGATGGCTTCTTGTAGCTCCGCACTTGATGTCTTATCAATACAGCACGTGTCAACCCAAAGATAGTGACAGCCTTGGCCTTGTGCCTGCTCAGCTGCGTTCACAATCTTGCTGTAGCCGACGCGCGTCATGAGGTCTTTCTCCGATAAACCTTCCAAAGGCATCTCGGAACTGCCTCGAATCATCATCTCCAACGCCAGCATCAGTGTAGTTCGCGCATCCTGACTGCCTGTTGACGCCGACGCTAAGTTGGTAGAAGCGGATAATGCTCGAGCTCTGCTAATCCAGACGTATTCCTGGTAGTTGACCTCATCTCCACCCCAGGTATGAGAAAGGATGGCATATTTAGGGACAGAGTCATCATTGAACCATCTGAGCTCGAGTGTTCTGACATCGATGAGTCGCATAACAGACGCTGAGCGACGTGTCGGCGTGGGTGATCATCGGCGTAGAGAGACCAAGCGGGGTGCCTGCCCCCGATGAGCCGAATCGTTTTGGGCTTTGCGCTAGACCCAATGGGCTGCCCCATACGAAGCTGCTCGTAACCTTAGACTCCTAGAGCGTTTCCTTGCGATGAAAGCCGGTACCATCATAGATTTGAACATGTACGACGCTCGAAGAACGATGCTTCCATAGCCGGAAATTGTAGCTAGGAATGTGTATCCTTATCGCGAGACTACGGTACGGCATCGGGGTTAACAGCGATTGGTGCATGTTAAAGTACGGAGTCCGACGATAGTCCTTGTCACTGCAGCCCTTGACATGGCGTCACGTATATTGGATAGCTGTCGTGACACCTTGCCGATGCTTGCACCAAATTACCATGACACCCTGACCCCAGCGCGAACACAAAGTCTGTCATCACAACAATGAATGCGAGCGGAAGGTCTGCAGCGAGTGTATTAGTTGCTAAGAGAAGGTGCTGGAGAAAGTAAAAAGTGGCTAAGGATACAGATAAGGTAACACGCGGCAGCCGTACATAGGAGATCCACCAACTGCGATCCATATTATCTCCTATCATGTCCCCGGTGTCACAAATGTTGGGACGCGCATAGTCCCCGGGTATGTTGCCGATTTCATGAGCACCAGACGCGACGTAGCTGCGCCAATTCCGTTTACTCATGCCGCTCCATAACAACCCCCATGCACACCCAGTACTCTCCATCAAGGATGATCTCCGAGGCGCTGCAAAGGAGTCGATACATGCCAGATGTGCAGCTGCGCGCTATCAGACTCGGTCCGCGGCGTCTTCGTGCGAGAAACCGAATTTGCGGTCTACCCGGATGCAGTTGTCCTCGACGCTCGTGCGGTGGTCACGGTATGTGGGAGCAGTGGCAGAGCTCATATGATCTTTGTTCATGGTATCCGACCACGAGCTCATCTGAGAACTATTTCCACAGGCGGTGGAACTGTCCGTCAAAGTAGACGTTGCGGGCTTGCCATGGAGCTTGTTCTTGGTGGATCGTAGGCCTCTGGGAGAAGCGTTTTGATCGTGGGCAACACCCGCCCACATAGCCGAGAGGGGAAGGAAGATGCAGACGATTGTGAGAACGTGGGAGACAATCTCAGGGGGGATGCTCTCAACGAATTGGAGAGATGTGAAAATAGCTACACGCACGTTAGTAAATGTCAGTGTTTAGCGTGGCAAAGAGAGACGAACCTGGTATTGACATTGTCTGACAACCCATGATGAAGACGATCTGCATCGGTCCAAATCTAGGCATGTTGAGACGGCGCCTCTGAAGGATGGCATGTCCCAATTTCCAGGTGAACACGCAACTGAATAACCAGATGGATATAGTTTGCATGATGTAGGTCATCCCGTTCAGTGCGTCCAGAGAATCGGGATCCACATTGTCCAATGCGTATTTGGTATTCAGGTAGACGAAAGCGAACTTGACTCCAAAAGCAGCGCAGGCCACTGTGGTGGTTGCACCCATGATGATGGTGCGATGTAGAGGTGGTGTAGTGACGCATACGATCCAGACTTGGAGACTGAGTGAAGCGTAGACTAGGATAGCGACGATAAGACTGAAAACGTTGATTAAGACGTAGATAGCCCAGTCCGCATTAGTCGGAGGTGGTGAATATGGGGTGACATCGCTGTACGGGTCGTTCCAGGTGCTGCTAAGATACATGGCGAGAAGCAGGCAGCGGATGGTGTTGGTGAAGAGGGAAGCGGTGTTAAGGTAGAAGATGAAGGACTTCCGCTTCTCAGCCTTGGTCAAGAGGACGAGAACAACCAGAAGCATGATCGATACACCAAGACCTACCCCGTTACTGGTAGCAAGGCGGGCGGTGTTCACGCTCCAATAGTTGACATCCGCCATGTTGACTGTGGTGACTGCCCATTTGGATTCGTCGCCCATCACAACCGGCACGATGAGGGTGAAGTTTTGGGTCCATGGCTCGAAGCCGGGCGGAACCTGGAAGTTGGACGGAAGGTCAACGGCGTGGAAGTCGTCAGCCATAACGGCTCCTACTGCTAGCAGTCTTTGGAGGTTATAGAGGTAGTGCTGTTTGGCCGCAGGTCCAGGGGAGGAACAGAGTCTGACGGAGTTGGGTCTGGAGGTGACAATTTGGAAGAAAGATAGAAAGTACTAGAGGTTGAAGAAGGAATGAAGGAGTCCTGCAGCGACGAGAGTCGAAGCTGTATCGTTTATATCAGAGTTATATAATAGCTAGATGGCAAGGTTGGTTCTGTGCTGCAGATTGGTGGCATGCAGGGTCATCGAGAAAGTGACGGGGAGTGATGGCTTTCGGATCCCGAGCGGATAATAGCAGCGGCAGCATGCGATTGTCTCGATATCCCCACTCACAACTATAGCTAGCCAAAGCGAAGGCGAAGATGAGGTCTTAGAGTTACTTGAAGCCCTTACTATTGTTCCGTGGTCCCTTCACCTGCATGCGTCCGGATACTCGCCTCGGTCTGTAAACGCTTGACCAATGCTCGCCGCTGGTGCTCTTCTCCTGTCTTACAGTGAGTCGCAGAGTCGCTCACAGTGAGTTGGATAATTGCTAGATGCGCTGTTTGCAGTGTGCGATGGTTGTGATGAGATAGCGCGAATTCCTTACTATTGTTCTCCATCGTCGACTGTCTGAGCTTTGAGACTGTTGGGCGGCGGTG